TTAAAATACAGTATTTTATACATAAGTCTCCAGAGGGATATGCTGTAAAGGAAAAAAGAACTATAAAAAAAAAAAAAAAAAAAAAAAAAAAAAAGGAATCTTAACCTGTACCAGTAATCAGTTTTATCATGGTCAATAACTGGTAATCACGTTGCTGAGTATCACACACAGCACACTCCCAGCGTAACTACAACACTGTGTGGTATTGGGTGTAGGGATGGAATTGGTGGTGCCTGGCTTCTTTCACACAGCATAACATTTCTGAGATTCAAGACTCTTGTGTGTATTATGGGCTAAAGCAAATGATTGATGATTACGTTGATATTTTTGAGAATCAGGATTTTTGGCAAGGAAGAAGGAAGTACAGTTATGAGATTGATGAGATTAAGAAAAACCCTCAGCCTGATCTCTATCAGAACTTTCAGTATGAGCCCAGGATATGTTTCACATTGAAAGATATGTATTCTTCCAAGCCTTGTTGACTAAAAAGTCTTAGGAACGATGACCAACCCTGTCGCAGTGAGAACCATTAATGTCCCAATCATGGTTTCTAAATACTATGTTCCACTCAAAGCAAGCATGACTCCTTGGATGGATGGTGGATTCCAGGCCCAGGGCAGGAAATGCACAAGTCAGGTCTGGAACATTCTGCTATAACAGGGAGTAAAGAACCTCTCGGGCGCCACTGGGGTCAGGTCAAAAGGACTCAGGTGCCCACTCAAGGAGGCTTTCATTAATCAAAGATTAAGTGATTTGAACATCACTAGAATAATAACTGCAATGGATTGAAGCAATCAAATACGTTTAAATCCATCGGTTTATAATAATATGTATATTCTTAAATTTCACTTGTCACCTTGGGAGGATGCTAGAGAATCAACTAATTATTTTGAAAACTAATAAATAAAGGAAAAGAAACGTATTCATCTGGCGTTCCCAATACGAACCTCAGGGTAACAAATAGTTGATGAGAAGTTTTCCTGTGTAAAAGTAATACATAAAGAAGGAATGATAGAATTTAAATATCACCATTTTGCGACCCTTAATGAATTAATGGACTTAGGCCTTGATTGTTAATAGCTGCTATCACCACAAAAGGAAACAACTGGACATTCTGTGCTTCCTGGTGGAGAAATACAACATCACCTGAAAAGCAGTCATCCTAGAAAACCAGACTCTGACTCTGATCAAGCTTTTAAATCCAACCACCAAAAACACAGGAAGTAGAGAGAACAGAGGAGCATGTTAAAGGGCACCGCTGAGGGCCAGCAGCAAAATCCAGACCCTGGGAAACTCTACAGGACAAACGGCCCAGTCTCTTCAAAAAGATGCAAATAAAACAAAAGGGAGGGAGTGTGAGGGGACTGGTAGATAAAAGACCCTCAGGAGTCATGCTGAGCAATCACAATGCACGGACTTCAGTTGGATCTTGAATCGAACAAATTGTAAACAACACACAACATTTATTAGACAAGCAACGGAGATGTGAGCAATGATTGGATATTTGATGATATTAAGGAATTTACTGTTAATTTTATTTAGATGTGATAATGGTACTATCTATGCTTCAAAAATAATCTCTATCTTCTTTTAGAGAGACATAGAAATATTTATAGGTGAAGTGATATGATTTCTAGGCTTTGATTCAAAATAATCTAGGGGAGGGGAGAGGGTATAGATTAAACAAGTGGCTATTAAACTTGGAGGAGGTCCCAACAGCCAAATATGGGACAATTTGAGCAACGCAATAAATAATGATAGGAATGGTTGTAACTCATGGAATAAAACAAATATCCTTTGTCCATGTTGGTGTAAACAAACAAGTAAGTGGGAGAAAAGGGAAAGCTCTTCCTTACGGTAAATTCCAATTAATAAATATAGAACGAATGACGGAAACAGAAAATCACCACGTGGCAAACACTCCAGCAATAATTGTTTCAGGCAGTAATTCTCAATGGATGCTAAAATTAGAAGAGGAGGGAACAATCAGAAAGAGGGTATTTACACAGAGTCAAGTCATGCCCACAAGATGCTTATTATAAGGAACAAATAGTAACTTTACAGTGGAGAACCCTGGCAGACACCTCCCCAACGGGCGATCTGAGTTAATGTCACCAATAATGGGACAAAATGACATCTATCAGGTGCTCCTAACAGAATGCCCCAAGAGGGCTCAGAATCGTTTCTGTGAGTTTCCTGCCAGAAGTGCACAGAGTAAATTAAAGCATGAGGAAACATCAGCAAGACCAACCGAGCGACATTCTGCAAAATAACTGGCCAGTACTCTTCAGAGATGCTGCAGTCATGAAAGACCAAGAAAGACTGAGGGAATGTCCCAGAGGAACGGACACTAGGGGACATGCTAAATGCAGCATGTCCCCTAAAAAGCTGTTAGTGGGATGACAGAAGACGTCTGAATAAGGTCTCTCGATGACTTAACAGTCTTTCAGCAAAGTGAATTTCCTGATTTTGTCATTGTTCTATGATTATGAAGTAAGTGTCAACATTTGGGGAAGCCGGGTGAAGGGCACATGGGGATTCTTTGTACTATTTTTCCAACTTTTTGTAAGTGTGAAATTACTTCAGAATGAAAGTTGAAAACAATTTTTTAGAGTGGTTCGTAGTTGGTAATTATTGAAGTTCAGTGATGGGAACCTGGAGTTCCTTGTCCTGCTCTCTCTAACTGCACAGGTAGTTGGAAGGCTCCACGATCAACGGTTAAAGAGAGGCTGAGGAAACACAACAACCACATGCAAAGCATGGACCTGTGTGGACTGAATACTCCACAAATCAACCCATAAAGAACATTTCTGAGACAGCCAGGGAAACTCAAATATAGATCAATATTAGATAATACTAAGGAATTACTGTTGATTTTTAAGGCAGTTTTAAAAAATTTATTGTGATAAAATACACATCACATAAAATGTATCACTGTAACCATTTTGAAGTGTTCAATTCACTGGCATTAAGTACGTTCACAACACTGTATAACCATCACCACTATCTAGATCCAGAATATTTTTATCACCCTAAAGGAGACCTTGTACCCATGACCCTGTTCCCCCATGCCTCCAGCCTTTGGCAACCACGAATCTGCTTTGTCTCTATGGATATGGCCATTCTAGACTTTTCCTGTAAATGAAATTATACTATATGTGTCCTTTTGTTCCTGGCTTCCCTCACTTAGCATAATATGTTCAATGCTCATCCACGTTGTAGCACGTATCAGTACTTCCTTTTTATGGCTAAATAGTACTCCATTATATAGATGTACCACATTTTGTTTACCCATTTATCAACTGATGGGCAGGCACTGGAATTGTTTTCACCTTCCGGCTATCGTGAAGACAGCTGCTATGAACATTTGCATACAAGTTTGTGTCTGATCACCTGTTTCAATTCTTCTGGGTGTATACCTAGGAGTGGAATTGCTGGGTCATGTGGCAAATTCTATCTTTAACTCTGAGGAACCACCAAATGGTTTTCCACAATGGCACACCATTTTACATTCCTCCCAGCAATATAGGAGGGTTCTGATTTCCCCACATCCTCGCCGACACTTGTTATTTTCCATTTATTATTATTATTATGGCCATCATAGTGGGTGTAAAGTGGATCCCACTGTGGTTCTGATTTGCACTGCCCTAATGAACGAGGACACTGAGCATCTTTTTATGAGTTTACTGGCAATTATTTGGGGTTTTAATGCATTGCAGTTTTATCCAAAATTAACCATATTTTTTGAAAGGCATACTATAATATGAAAGGATACAATAACAAAAAGTCTGAGATTTGCTTTAAAACATGACAGCAAAAGAAAGTAGATTTTTTAAAAGACAGAAAAGGGATAGAGGAAGGGAATGTGGCAAAATCTTTTAATTATTGAATCCGGGTGATGAATATATTGGGGGGAGGTCATGGCATCATTCTAGTTCTGTGTATGTTTGGAATAAAAGAAAGTGGACGGGGAGTCAGGAAGGAGTCCAGTGAGGACACATCGAACTGGAGGTGCTGCAGATGACCAGGGTCAGGAATGAGGCTGAGTGGTCAGGGCGGATAGGGAAGCCATGAGCACAGACAGCATGTTGGGCGTGCACAAGCCTTTCCTTCTCTCACAGCCCAGTGTGGCATCTTCTAGGTATTTCCTGGGGACTCCGGAGAGCCTGCATCTTCTGCCTTCTCTAGGAATCTCGGGGTAGGTGCAGATGCTAGACTTTGTGTTGTGGGCTGTCTTTCTCAAAGCATCGTGAGGAACGAGTGCTCTAGATCAGAATGCACACGGGGAAGTGTGGGTCCAACGATAAGCCAGTGCCACCATGATCCTGAGGGCACCAGGCTTGCCACAGGATGCTGATGCCTGTGGGACCCCCCGATGCCTCTGGTGCCCACACTGAAGCAGACAGCAGGACAGTCTTGGGCCACTGCAGACTCTTGCCCACTGTTTCTTAACAATGCTCTCAGAATCGGCTACAGGGACCAAAGCCACACTGACTGGGTATCGAGGTGGGGTGTATGTGGCTGTGGACAATAAAATCTTAACCTCCAACCGAGATTTGGAGGTTTGGAAGGTAGTCCATCCCCAAAACAGCCTTTACGTAAAGGTGGAAAGATGAGTGATTTTATCATTTCTTACATAACGTTGTAATCTTGCTGTTACGTTGTCTTTCCAATGACAACACTGTTAATACGCTGATAGGACTTGCCAATTCTTATCTTTCCAGAGAAGAAGCAAAAGGTCACTTAGAAAAAGCCACAGGCATTTCTGTTTCTCTCTCTCACACTGAAGCTAATTTAACAAGTTGAAAACATTCAGTGTCTTTTCCCCCTTTCCAGACAAATAAGCTCTCATGGGGGGGTCCACGCGTGGCCGCCCAGCAACCCCCACAGGCTGTCTGAGCCTCAACCCCACTCCCAGCCCCGAGGCTGCCCCACGTGAGCGCCAGAGCCTCCCTGGACAGGGCCACCTCCCACGCTCACATCGAGAGGTGCCATCCTACCTGGTGGGCTTCCAGCCCCATTGCTTGCAGGGCAGACTTGAAAAACTCAGGAGAAGGTTTCCCCACCACTTCAGCTTTGATGCCACAGGCATACTGGGAAAAGAGAGAAGGACATGGCATGGGTTTGGGATCAAGGAACAGATGTATGGGGCCGGCCCGTGGCTCACTCGGGAGAGTGTGGTGCTGATAACACCAAGGCCACGGGTTCGGATCCCATATAGGGATGGCCGGTTGCTCACTGGGTGAGCATGGTGCTGACAACACCAAGTCAAGGGTTAAGATCCCCTTACCGGTCATCTTTTTGTAAAAAAAAAAAAGGAACAGATGTATGTCCAATCAAGGAAAGACTGTCCCAAATGTGCCCCAAGGGTCAGAGGCCTTGAAGAGGCAGGATGCTGTGGGCCTGAAGAATACATCTCATAGGAAAGGGCATCACGACTCCACAGCAGGTGCCTGGGATGCTCAGGGCACCCACCACCAGGCGCCCTGCCATCTACTCAAAGACTCGCCCACAGCAGGAGGCATCCAACAGCTGGCAAAGCCATGAGGCCTCCTGAGGACCAGGACACCAGTACTCTTGTTTGCTTGCTCAGCTGCAATTCCATTCTCTTGTCCCTTCTCCCCTCCCTTCTCTCTTGTCCACCCCCAGCTCTGTCACAGGTCCTCCCAGGAGGGGTCAAGGGCTCCGTCTGCCCACCCCTCCCACCTGAATGCAGGAGGCAGAAGCCACTGCAGCCCTGAGGACAGATGTGATGTGAAGCTGACCTGGGGCAGGAGCCCTGGGCTGGGGCAGCTGATGGGACATGGGGAAGATGGACTGTGGGGAGCCCCAGCTGGAGCCTGGCCACAGATGGCCTTAGAAACTGGACAGGGAGTCGGGAAGGAGTCCAGTGAGGACACATCGAGCTGGAGGTGCTGCAGATGACCAGGGTCAGGACTGAGGCTAGGTGATCGGTGCAGATAGGGAAGCCATGAGCACAGACCGCATGCCGGGCCTGCTGGCAGGGAGGGGTGTGCCCACCAGAGCAGGGGAGGGAGAGGAGAGCAGTGATGCAGAGGAGAAGGACTGCATGGCTCGAAGCCCCTAACAGGAGAGTCGACTTTGAAACATGCAAGGCCATTCACACATCAAGTACACCCCTTCTCCAGGAAGACCTGAAACATCCCAGACAGCTGAAGAGCCAGGCAGGTACCTCGAGCGCCCTCATGTAGGCACCAACGTCCAGCATCAGGCCAGAGGTCTCCTTGTAATAGCGCCTAGAAAAGAGCAGGAGGGAGCACACTGAGCAGAGTCCAGGGACCCAGGAACTGCCCTGACCTGGTTCCACTGGCTCATGAGAGTGGGGCCACGGGTAGGGTCAGCCAGACGCCCTACTGAGAATGACCAATGGAGGCCGGCACAACAGTGCCCAGCAGGGTGGCCATGCCCAGTGAAGAGCACAGAGGGTCAGTGGCTCTGGGGACACCATGGTTCAGTCAGTCAGAATGGCCCCCTGCTGCCAGCCTCGTGGGGACCCTGCTGCAATGATTAACAGGGGACCCTAGGAGCAGATGGATCCAGTTGCTAACACAGAGAAAGACAAGTGACCTGTGTTCTGGGAAGGGACAGCAGGTCCACAGAGCATGTGGTGAACTCCTAATTGCTAATAATTAACCCCTAATTGCTGCCTGAAGAAGAACACTCCATTAGTTCCACAGCGACCTGCCACATCCCCTATTAGCTGGAGGTCAAGCGAGGTGCCAGGTTTCTCGGGCGCCAGATGCTTTTATGAGAAGACAACAATTTCTTCCCTGTCTCCTGGAGGTCGAGATGGGCTCGGCTTGAAGGAGCATTTCTTTCTCCAGATGATCTCACTGCTCTTGTGAGCGCTGGGCAGGCTGAGCGCTGGCCCCACGCCCATGTCAGACCCGAGCCTCAAGGCACACGCCATCTTAGACACTCGGTGGACTGGGCCGGTTCTCTCCGAGCAAAGCCACTTGACTACAAAGAGTGGAGAAGACAGCTCAGCCTATGCTGCTCTGAAGACAGGAATCGTTGAAACCCAAGAATAAAAAAGGGGGATCTGATTTTTACAATTATTAAAATGTCTGTGATCCGTTCATCATTTCAGTTCCCATTCTCCTTTTCCCACCCTTTGAATTTGGGGACCTTAAACAAGCACGTGTGCAGAGAACCAGAGACAAGAATAGGGAAGTGTGCTGACTTCAACATTCATATCCTTTCTCTGCTTTCTAATGGTGCGACCCTGGGTTGCTTAAGTCTTCTGGGCCTCAGTTGCCTTATCTGTAAAACGGGCAAAACAAACAACGAATGGTACCACTTCGCAGACAGTTGTGAAGCTTGAACAAAATAACGCATGTACTGTTCTGACCACCACTCCTAGCACGCAGAAACTCTCGAACAAGATTGGAAAATATCACTATGAACAACTGTTCACCCAGGCTGAGAGAGCGCCAGTGAGATGTGAGTAGGGGGAGAGAAAATGAACACAGATCTTTCCAGTTTGTGGGGTTGAAACGTGTTCTGTGCCCACCTGAAATGTCAGGACTGGGCTCCTTGGAAGCTGCCCCAAGGATGTCCCTTCTGGCTTTGCCACTGCTGAGGACCCTGCCTGCCCTGCCCCTGCCTAAGGCCCTGACACTCACCCAGTCACTTGCCCCTTCAGCCCTGTGAGGTGGCTTTTGCGCCTGGAGTCCCTCTGCTGAAGGCATGGGCATCTCCTGTCATGATGAGGCTCATTAGTGTCCAAGTGAACCCAGGCCTCTCCCAGCCTGCCAGGCTCTGTGCTCCAAGGCCACCTCAAAGATGCAGACCATGTGGTACACTGCACGTGTTCAGTAAGGTCCACACTACTCATGGGGTGGGGATCTGCAAGTGCCCTCCCTTTTAAAGAGTGACCCCAAAACACAGGCTTAGAGAGCTCTAATTTCATGTCTTAAATCCAGCACTCAGACATGTATTTTGCATTCATATAGCCTCAAAACAGTGTTTCCTTTTATTTTTCCCATTTCTACAGTAAACGTTTGTGGTATGACGATTTCCTTAGCTAAGTGAGTTTCAAGGCAATGGCGAATGAGGATGTAAAGCAAAGCTGGGCCGGGAGGGAGAGGAAGACGCCGCACCCTGGGGCCTGCGCATGTGGGTGCTGCAGCCAGCGTCAGCCAGCTCAATCCTCCACAGACACTGATGAACACGCTGCCCCAGAGGCCCTTTGCAGGACTTGGGGACACTCCCAGACCCAGGCCTGCACCCCAAGGACTCCCAGTCTAGTGGGCAAGCAGACAAGTCCACAGACAAATATAAAAGGGTGGGACACAGGGATGACAAGGTGACCTTATGCTCTGTGGTCCTCTGCCTGAGTAGGGCGCAGGCATTCTGGGAGCAGGGAGGCAGGAGAGGCATCCCACAGGAGGAGATTTCAGCTGAGACCCGAAGGTTGAAGAGGTTACCCAGCTGGAAGGAGGAGGAATGGGAGCATCTCAGAGTCACCCTCCCGCCCACCAGCTGCCTGGGGCCGGCTGGAGAGACAGGAGGCTGGGTGGACTCAGGGCAAATGCTTCTCCTTTGGAAAAAACTCCCAAGGAGATCCACGCTGCACAACCTCTGCTGGCTCATATTCCCTGGAGTATTTCTTCTAAAGTGAAAGAACCTGGACTTTCTTATGTTTAAATTTAGTACTGGATGGGAGGAAACAAACTGAACACGCAACTGAAAACGCCCAATCAGAATTTTGCCTTTGTTATGCCGATCTTCATCGACCACGGAGAACACCAACTTCCAGAAATCAAACTTAGAAATTTTAATATTTTGGCCGGCCCGTGGCTCACTTGGGAGAGTACGGTGCTGATAACACCAAGGCCACAGGTTCGGATCCCTATATAGGCATGGCCAGTTAGCTCACTTGGGAGAGCGTGGTGCTGACAACACCAAGTCAAGGGTTAAGTCCCCTTACCGGTCATCTTTAAAAAAACAACAACAAAAAAGAAATTTTAATATTTCTTTGTTTATCTGAATCTGGGCTTGTTTTTATAGTGCCCAGAATTCTTCTTTATTCCTTATTCATTCAGGAAAAAAAAAAAAGGCATTTTGAGGCCAACTTTCAGCTGAAAACATTTTTTAGAGATTCGGTAAATACATGCACTTAATTTTTTTTTAAGTATAAAGGCCCAGGTTATTTACATACTCTAGAGATGTGAGATATTTCTCCTTTGTTATCGGCATAACATAACCAACAGCAGCCCTGGTTAGGACCTGAGTGTTGCAGCCACAAAGAGGAAACTGTGGACGCTGGAAAGAAAGGGAAAAGCCGGGGAGGAGCAGTCAGATCTGATTTTATGCTTTATTCTTCTGCCATTTCCGATTATTCAGCACAGCCTCCCTTCAAAATGACCACTTGACCTTTCCCAGAAGAGCCATTAACCTTCCATAGTCTGTCTCGTAAACAGCTTAATTTTCTGATGGCGGCATGACAGAAGAAATTACAAAGCCAATTCCCACTCTCTGGTTCAAACAGATGCCAAATGTAAATCACTCCATTTCCAGGAGGAGGACATTCTGCCTCAGCACCTCCGCCCGCTGCTGTCGCCTCCTTGGCGGGCACCGCTTAGCCTGTGCCCTCTGCTGGTAGAGGACAGGCCCCCACCAGTGGTGACTCCCAGTGGCAACTTGACAGCGTGGTGACAACAGCTCTTCCTGGGTCCTCGGGCTGTTCTGAGAAGCTGTGACCTGGCCCGAAAGCTGTCGGTTCCTTTCTCTGGCTTTTAAACACCCAGCCCACAGTCAGAACACCCGAGGCAGAAACCCTGCCAGCTAACCAGCTAACGACCCCACTAATCTCTGATTTTTAAACAAACCCCTGCCTACTACTCACTTTGTTGCAGTATCACAGACCTAAAAGCAACTGATTCCACCTTTTTTCAACATACCTATTTTGACTCTTACCTATAATCTGGAATAACTTTTAATTATGAGACTTTAAAGAAAAAAGTTTTAACATAAATGAGTTATAATAGAGCGTCTTAATTATGCTTGTTCTCTCATGAGGGGTTGGCAACCAAGGCCTAAAAGGCCAAGCCTGAGTTGAGCAGACCAGGCCTGTGGTTTGCTTCACAGCAGTGACCTAAATTGCAGAAGGTTGGAAGTGTAAAAAGGGACCACAATGGTTAATTTATTTGGCTGGGTCATGGTGCCCAGATAAGTGGTCAAACGTTATTCAGGATGTTTCTGTGCAGGTATTTTTGGATGAGATTAACATTTAAATCAGTGGACTGTGAGTAAAGCAGATTGCCCTCGATGAGACAGGTGCACCTCATCCCATCAGTGAAAGGCCTTAACAGAACAAAGACTGGCCTCCCCCAGGCAAGGAGGAGCTCCACCAGCAGGCTCGACCATGACCTTCCCTAGGTCTCCAGCCTGCCAGAGCACCCTGCAGATCTTGGATTTACCCAGCCTCCACGATCAACTTCTCTTCACATATATCCATATCCTATAGGTTCCTGTTTTTCCCCAGAGAACCCTAACTAATATAGGCCACATTTTATATGATAAGCATACTAGAAATTTTTAGTTCCTAAAAATATATATCCTCTCTTTTCTTTCTGGGAATATCTTTCATTTGCCTATTTTTGATAGAGACATAGCATGAAGAAATATTTCCCTATTATGAGAAAAACAACAAATGGCATGCGATATATGGCAAGTGACTGAAGCTTGGAGACGTGGCAATACGGAGTGGTGGAGTCTGGGGTGAACTGGGACTAATGAGGCAGTGGCCCCAGCTAAGCCGCTGTGCGTAGGGAATGTGGGGCCCAGGACTGTCAGATCTTCTGATTCTTCAAAAGAATACAGATATCTGGGTATTTTATGTAAACTCTTCCAATTTTTAAACACAGGCTCAAAAAAAAAAAATTTAAGATCTTGAATGGGCCAGCCAAATATCTCTTCTAGAATGTAGCCTAGAGGTGACAAGCACGGGCTCTAGAGTCAGCCAGGCCAGGTGCCACTTCTGGTCCTGCCAGCACTCACCAGCTGGGGGACCACGTCTTATTTCACATTCCTATGCCTCAGTATGCCCATCTGCAGAATGGCAATGATGCTGCCTACAGTTCCCAGGGTTGTGGTCAGAACTAAACAAACTGGAGTACAGAAAGTACTTAGCAATGGCCAGTGGCCGGATAAAAAGCCCCTCCCCATCTACTCAAATAGCTGGCCCTGTTCAGCTGGCAGAGGGAGGCAGTGCCCAATCTCCAGAAGCTCCTAAGCTGGAAAACACTTCCTCAGAGATGGCCCTAGAAGTCCTGCACTGCATGAGAAGCCAGGGTAGAGACTCCAAAGTGTCCTTGGGACTTTAAGAACCTGTCATTCTAAAGTTCTAGTGTTGCTTCTGTTGATGACAGAATAAATCTGCACAGCCTTCTGGAAAGCAACTTGAAAACACGAATCAAGAACTACAAAAATGCTTGCTCTGTAATTGTCTCTGAAGACATCATCTGAAATGTACAAAGATGCTCATGCCAGCCTTACTGTGGTAGAACATCAGAAACAACCTAAGATGGATAACCGTGCCATAGAGAAACCCACTTATCGTGTGGAAAGTCATTCACAAGATCGTCTTTGGTGAACAGTAAAAAACAGGGGACAGGCAAGGTCAAGTTTGATTTGATACCAGTGTTGTGGATACATCCATATATAATGATCCATTTGCACAGGAAACCGTTCAGAAGGACATACACCAAAATGTTGACGGTTGTATTCCTTGGGCAGTGCGACTAAAAATACTTTTAGTTTTCCTCTTTTGCTCATCTGTATTTTCTAATTTTTCTTGGATGAACATGTGCTGTCTTGGTGGTAAGAAAAGGTGTTAAGAAAAATAAGAAACACTGTTTCTTTATAGAAAGGGACAGTGAGACGTGTGCCAAAGGCTCAGACAAAAACATGGATCACAAAATCACCATTTCACCGAGACAGTGCTCTGCATCTAGAGACACTGGTGCCCAAACCAGAGCATTCCACCAGTCCTCAAGCCTATTTTTCACCACTTAGGTGTCCCTTGGGACCATTCTTCAACACCCTGTGCTATATCCTGTGCAAAAGCACCTTTGCCTTCTTTGCTCCAAACTTGGGACAATCAGCACTTGACCTCTAAGATCTCCAAGGGCTCTGCATCTACAATGTAGTCCCTCCCCACCCCCTGCCGCCTCTTCTAGCCTAAGGTCCACATGGAGCCTTGATCCATCAGCTCCTGAGGACAGATTATTCCAATTTCCTAAAATAACATTCAAGGAGAAGGAAAAAATGAAGAGAAAAAAAGCAAGAAGAAAGAGAGGGAGGGAAGAAAATTACCTGTGCTCACTCCACAGCCACTTTCCTGAACCCTTCTCTACTGGATTCTGCAAGTCAGAGAACCACAAAGCATCCTCCAAAGCAACCAGAAATGACTCTCCCTGGAGCCAACTTACCCTTTTCCCAGTGATACGAGCACAGGCTTTTCCAGCTCCATGAGCACCTGGAAGGCTTTATTCATGTTCTGATAAGAAAGGCCTTCTCCTGCATCTGCAAGTACGACACAGTTTGGATTGGACACATCGATCTGATCAAATTCTGAGCGGAGTCCTGGAGACAGAGAGAGGATGGTCAAGCCCCGGGATAACATGGCCCACCTCCCACCCCCACCAGGGACATCTCCTGTCTGTCATGCCTGACATGTCTGCCATGTCTGCCCTGCCCCTTTCTCAGATACACTATTTCTTTTCTATCCTCATAGATACCATGGCAGGTTGATGAGGAAAGGATGCTATTCCCATTTTATAGATGAAGGCATCCTGGCTCCCAAAGCTAGAGAGCTTGTTAGAAAGATGGACCCACAATTCCAACACCAGCATTTGTCCCACGAGCTCCTGTGGTTCAATACTGTGGGCAGGAAACCCATAGCTTTGTAACGAGGAGGGGAAATCTGCCTGTAGGACACACATCTCCAGCAGCAGGCCAAAATGAGGCCTCTTGCAACCCTTAGAGGGTTGGTACTGCTGTTTGCAAACTGTGAGAGCCATCAACACATTTCAGGCTTTATGTCTTCAGTTCCTAAAATAAACATGCTCTCACTTCTCTTGGTTATCAGATGTTTACCTTTCTGGATTAAAACAATTGAAGTAAACACAATGAGATACCACTTCATACCCATCAGAAGGATGAGAATTAAAAGGACTGACAACACCAAGTGCTGGTGAGGACCTGGAGCAACTGCAACAGCTGGTGGGAGTGTAAAATAGTACAATCCCTCTGGAAAAAGGTCTGACAGCTTCTCGTAAAACTGAACCTACACTACTCTATGACCCAGCAATTCCACTCCTGGGTATTTACCCCAAGGAACTGTACAGGGATGTTCATAACAGATTTATTCATAGTATCCTAAAACTAGAAACAACCCAGGTATCCATCAGCATGTGAATGGATAAACTGTGGTATGTTCAGTCCATGGAACAATACTCTGCAATAAAAAAAAAATACTGCTAATACATGCAACAATATGGATTAGTACCAAAAGCACTATGCTGAGTGAAAGAAGCCTTACACAAAAGACAATTGTGAAAGAAAGGGTTAACTCAGCAGGCCTAGGTTGTTCAAACCCTGCACATTCTAAAGAGAGTCTTCTGGACTGGCTTATTGGGAGAAAACTTCTGAGCCCCTGCAGTATCCTACCTGATAAAAGGGGTTTTGTATGCTTAAGTCCTTGTGCCACACTACACTAGTTTGAGCTCTGGGGTGGGCTACAGACTGAGTAGCTGAGGTAAGTCACATGGGAGCTGCATGTCTACATGACTGACCCTTAATTAAAACCCGGGACACGGAGGCTCCAGTGGTCTTCCCCAGCTGCCAACACTTCCCATGCGTTGCCACACATCACTGCCGGGAGAATCAAGCATGTCCCAGTGCAAATCCACTATGAGGGGACAACTGAAAGCTCACACCTGGTTTCTCCTGGACTTTGCCCCATGTGTCTCCTCCCTTTGCTGAGCTTAATCTGTATTCTTTTAGTGTAATAATCCATAAATATGAGTGTAACAGCTTTTCTGAGTCCGGTGAGTCCTTCTAGCAAATCATTGACACTGGGGGTGGTTTTGGGGGCCCCTGACAAAATTACATACTGTATGATTTTATTTATATGAAATGCTAGAATAGATAGTCTTATTTATAACGGAAAAAGTCAAAATAATGTTTGCCTCTAAGAGGGCAGGGGGCAGGGACTGATGGGCAGGGGAGAGGTAACTTTTGGGGTGATGGTGATGTTCTAGATCTTGCTGGTGGGTTGAGTTACACAGGTGCATGCATTTGTCAAAACTCAGCAAAAGTACACCTGAGGTTTCTGCATTTCACTGTATGTAAATTTTACATCAACAGGAAAAAACTGGAAACAAATATTGAACTCTAGTTAATGATATGCTGAAGCATTTAGGGGAAGTATACCAAGGTCTGCAATTTACTTTGAAATGCATCTAAAACAACATACATAGATGGATGGGGGATGGATTGACATATGGTGAAGAAAATATCATAAAATGTCACTGACAACATCTAGGTGATGGGTATAAAAATATTCCGAGTGAAAATTCTTTGGGTTTTGCTGTATGTTTGAAATTTTTCATAATAAAATGTCGGGGGGGAAATCCACCAACAATAAAACTTGAATAATTCAAAGTCTGAAAGAAAACATGGGTGCATTTACTGAAAACACAGATGCCGGCTACAGCCAGAAGGGCATCTGCCTCCCTCCGGTCCTCTCAAGCTCTGCTGCCTGCTTGTTTGATTCGCTGATTGACACCACCTTCCAGGCAAATGCTAAAACTCCTTTCCTTCCCACATCTTCCACCCCCGACTCCCATGTCTAGTAGCCCTTTTCTGGGGGTTGACGGGAGAGAGAATTCCTCTAAGTCTACTCTCTTTGAGGACCATGTTCTAAAGACACTGGCGGGGTTCCTAGACTACAGAGAAAGGATTCTGAGAAAAGGGATTTCTAAAGGCCGGGCATGTCGCCCTTCATTGGCGCCAGGGCTATGAATTCAACACTTGGGCCTCCAGGGAGCACCGTCCACCTCTGACAGCCCCCACTCTTGCCCTGGGAAGGGAAAAAGCATGCTTGCCTCTGCCCAGTGGTTTGTAAAACTAAAAACATCAAGTGCAGAGGAAGGAAGGAGGAAGGCTCAGTGGGACGACAGAAGTGTCCTGAATTCTGAAGCGTGGCTTTTGTCTCTTCTTTTTAAATAATCAGAAGGTACCAGATAACACTATTACTTCTTCTTTGTTCCAAAAAAACTCCCCAGTGAGGGTCAAAGGGGCCCTTTTCTTGCATTCTGACCAAAATCAAGATGCAAACCTTGCTCCTACATCCATTTGCAAGCTGCACCAAAGAGCAGGGCTGGTTGTTACTGACACTCACATGGTTCACGGTTATGGGTGACAGATGCTGGAAAGCTACGGAACTCAACCTAGCTGTTCATCCTCCCTCTCTCTCACTCTCTTCCCCTCTGTCAACAAGAGCTAGAATTTTGCCTTCTTGACAAGGCCCTGGCCCCTTGGTCTATCCTAGACCAGGGAAAGCTATCATAGGGTTTTCCTCCCATAAGACTCTGGAACCTGCCTCTAAGGACCCTCTGCTGTGGGGCTGGGGGATGAACAGGGCCATGTCCTAACTCGTCCCCAGCTGCCAGCAGGAAGCCCCATGATGTCCCAGGGCACGGAGGCCTACCATCATGGATGAGCAGGTGTGGCCGCAGGCCTCGCTCCTTCAGGATCTGGCAGGCGGCTGGTGCAGGGGCAGTCACCTCTCCCTCCGAGATGTCAAATCCCAAGCGCCGAAGCAGCCTCACCAGCTCTCCCCGGGACTTCTGCGACTCATTGGTACAGAATCTCACCTTCAGCTGAGACTGCTTTAGTCTGGGGTGGGGAGAAAGGTCAGGCTGAGAGTGTTGTCAGCACGTGGAATGTGCGGCCTCCTGGGAAGGCGCTCAGAGACGGGCACTTCTCCAAAAGCAATAGGTAAAGTCCCAGAGCAAGTCAGGTCACCATGGGTCCCTGAAGTGGCCCTGACTGAGCCCCAGGTGTGCTCAGGCTAGGATTTCTAAGCTGAAGCAGACCCCTTCGTAGGGGACCCCAGGCCACACCCCCACAACCGTCCTTTCCATCCTCACTGGAGTTGATACACCTAAGACTCCCCAAGGTTCTCCACCTGACATTTGTCCATGACTCTCCTGCTGCCTGGGAAGCATCTCTGCCCCCTTTACCTGGGACATGTTACCTCTCCACCTGCACCAATTCTACTCACCCCTCGATATACACTCAACACCTCCCATCCACCGTACCATTCTGCTCAGCCTGACTAAAGGTCATTTCTGAGTGTCCATAGCTATTTCTCTTTCTATACAACTAGCATGTCTCCTTTGCATTGGAACTACATTTGTCCATGCCTCATTAACTCTGGATCCGTATTTCCCCAAAAGTGCAAAGGCAGAGGGACCGCACTGAGGTTTGTCTTCTCATCACTGTCAGCGGAAAAAGGTTTGCCAGACAAAGTCTTCAGGGAAAGGGGCAATTGTGGGATGGACCGGACCCTCGGCCAACCCAGCATTAAGGTAAGGTGAGCCTGAGATGTGGCCGATTGCTGGCAACACCAAGAATCCTTCCCAGCTGCCTTCACAGGAGACCTGCATGTCCCAGCTGCACGGGGGCAAGTTCTCGGAACACAAAGCCACAGAGCAGATGCCTAAAGAGGCCCCAAATGAAATAACATTCCACCCTTCCACAGGCAATTACTGAGTATTACTGAATACCTACTAAGAGCCTGGCACTGGGCTAGTGCATGGAACGTACTGTGAGTGAAGGCAAGGTCCCTGCTCTCTAGAGACAGCCATGGATGGGCGAGGTAGGAGGCAGGCAATAAACAGGAACCCCCGTGAAAGAAGGGCAATTTGCAATAGAAAAGAGAGGTGCTATAAGAGGACAAACAAGGTGACCAGGTGGGGTAGGAAGGTCGGGGGAGGCCTCCCTGGGGAAGCATCTCTGGAGCTGAGACCCTTGGGGAGAGAAGGTGCCAGAGGCATGCAATCCAGCACAGGGAACAGCAGACACTGGGAGACCCAGCGCACAGCACTCTGCACCGGGAGAGGTGGCTGGACAGCTGGTGCCCAGCAGCAAAGGGACAAGTGTGAGAGAGCAGTCCACACAGGCGGCAGGGTGGCTGGCTCCGGCCCAGATTATACAACCCTCCCTCAACAAACCCGGCCCCATCAAAGCAGCAGTCATATCTGGCATCTGCTTAGAGCTCCAGAGTGGAGTCACGGAAAAGACACCAGGCTGCAGGCCTGGAGGCCCTGAAGGCACTTTCAAGAAACCCTACTACAATAAACCAGCTACGCTAATCGTCACCCAGCACTGTTCTCAGACAAGTCCCTAAGCACGTCCATTTCACTGGTCTCCAGAGATGCAGGAAGACATCTGGACTTCACCCATCCTTTTGAGTTGCATATTTTTTATAATCTAAGTAATACATTAATACAGTGTTAAATACATAATTTATAATTTATAAATAAACATACGTAGATATATAAACAATAAATGCACATGCATATGTATATATCTATGCACATAGACATATACATATAAACGTATATGCATATAAATATTTAAATATAAATAAATACACATAAATATAAATATACACAGTGTTCAAGTTTTGCTTTTACAGATGTGGCCCCAGTCAAAGGTGTCTGGAAGTAACACACAGATTAGACCCAGTTATTCAGAACTATGGTTTAAAATCAATCTCTATTTAGGCAAGTGAGAAATAAACAAAAATTCAACTCAACCTTCCCCAGTGATAACATAATTAATCCCATTTTACAGGTGAGAAACTGAGTCCCAGAAAGGTCAAGAGCTTTCTATTCCTCCTCCTGAGGCTGAGACTTTGGGGATGTGGATCCCACCGTGGATCCTGGAACTTACAATGGAGTCAGGAACAGGAAATTGGTGCGCCCAGAGCTGTCCTATGGAGGGGAGGAAGGTCATGTCCCAGGGGGGTCTTAGAGAAGACTTCCTGGAAGATCCAGGTCTAACTGGAGTCTTGCAGGATGGACAAGGAGGTCGCAGGAAAGGGCAGGCCAGTGAAGGGAGACGGGCAGGTGAGCAGGCCCCACCCTCTGCCAGGTAGAAAGACTGGGAGCATCCTGGGATACACGGAAGGGGCAGCCGGAAGATGAGGCTGGAGTGGAGGACCACTGAGAGGGCAGGGACGAGCCAGACACTCTGCCCCACTGCTGGGGTGGCGGGGGGACTCCAAATATCACCCTCATTGGTGCTAACAGAAACTGGGAAGAGGTGGCAGGTCTTGGTCCAATGTCCCCTCCTCCAACCATCCTGTGTGACGCTGCCCCTGCTCCGTCTCTATCTGTCACACACTGTTTTTCTTTCTTTATAACATCAACCAGTATCTTCAATTATCTGATGCATATATTTGTTTATTGTCTTTCTCCCTGACCTATGCAGTCCGTGAGCTCAGGGACAGGATCTCTTCGTTTCATGGCATCCCCAGCACTTTCCACAGGGCTTGCCATGCAGCAGCTCTGGATAGACATTCGTTGAATGACTGACTGACGGAAAAGCCTAAATGACTTCCTCTGCTGCTTCCCTGAGGGTGTCCCTTTCCGGGACAGGATCTCTTCGTTTCATGGCAACCCCAGCACTTTCCACAGGGCTTGCCATGCAGCAGCTCTGGATAGACATTCGTCGAATGACTGACTGACGGAAAAGCCTAAATGACTTCCTCTGCTGCTTCCCTGAGGGTGTCCCTGAGCCTGCAGCCCCCTCACAATCCCCTAGACAGAGAGACAGGCTTCAGTGGTGAAAACAGGCATTCCCCTGTGCAATGAGCTTCCACATCTTCTCAGCCCTGGAGCTGACGGGTGCGATTTAGGAAAAAATCTGCACATCTACTGACACTGGAGAACACAGACTGAGGGTCTGACAGTGTCTCCCTCAACAGCCCAGGTGATTCATCCCTTTCTTATTATTTGTCTTTCCACATCTTCTCAGCCCTGGAGCTGATGGGTGCGATTTAGGAAAAAATCTGCACATCTACTGACACCGGAGAACACAGACCGAGGGTCTGACAGTGTCTCCCTCAACAGCCCAGGTGATTCATCCCTTTCTTATTATTTGTCTTTCCTAATCAGAGGTTTACGAATTATCAATTACACTTAGTGGTTAATTGCCCTTCATAAAGAGAGCTTTTTTATTTTTAAATTAGGCAGTTAATATATTGTAACTAATAGCGTCACCTTGTAACGTTATGGATAGATCTTCATTGATGGGTGCTGGGAATGTGTGATTCGCACCCAAGTTAATGGAGCAGTTGAGGGAAGAAGTGCAGGGGGTCCCAGGGGACTAATTACTGCTAATGAATGATGATGTGACCTTCTCAGAACAGTGAACAATCGGTGTGACGGTGAGATGACAGTGCCTCACATCTGTCATTCCAAGCACAACTTCAGATGTGGGTAAAAAAAAACGAGTAAATCACAGAACTCACGTCAGGACACAATATATACTTTTAAAATCAAAGTTCTAGTTTTGGAGATGAAATCTGTCCTTGAAAATATAGCGGGAAATGCGTGGGTGAGCCTCTCTTCCTGGGTCCTGTCTATTGGTGCCACCTGACCCCACTCCCTTTAGATGTGTCACCACAGGCCCTTTCTGACCACCAGGGACCGGCCAGTCCCAGGTTGCCTCTTCATTATTTTAAATTACTGATAAAAGTTTATTGAAACAGTAACATGGTAACACAGCGCTGTGCCTTTGCTCAGTGCCCTTGATCTGACTTCATCCTTATGGCCCTGACACACATCCCCAAGGCCAGGTGCCTGGCTCACAGGTAGCCCTCACTAAGCGCATGAGAACCATTGTCCGCACCCTAGAAAGAGCAAACAGAGGCTCCGGGAGGCAGAGACTGGATCGAGGCCACCAGCTTGTAGGCAGCAACTCTGCTCCCTCAACAGTCTACGGTGGTGCGAGCGGCCCCTGCACCAGCGAGTAAACACAGTGGGTGTCTTCCTGGGGCCCAGCCCCTCAAATGGAAACCCCAAGCCCTGAGCAAGGCCCAGCAGCACCAGGAACACAGGCCCAGCTCTGCTGCAAGGTGTCCTGCAGGGAGGGGTGTGTGTGGCACTC